TGCCAGAGACCTCTCTATTCTATGCCCTATGATATACTAGAGCTAGAATACTTCTTGGTGTAGTTAGAATTTGCTGAATTAAAGATTTGGTCTGAAACATAAATAAATGTGTTTGATTATTTTTTTTTTAAATGGTAGAATAAAATAGTAAACTCCAGCTATTTTTCCATGTAGGATGGTATAATCTGTTGGGGGCAGAGTGAACTATTTTAACTAATCACTTTTTGTTCAAACACCAAAGTGAACTCTTTTAATATTTAGGGGCTCCATTTGTACTTCCTGACAATAATAGAATTATTGCTGTTTTACAGAAAAAAAACTAAAGAAGACAAGAGTCAAGTGACTATCTAAAAGTAACAGAGATGTGGCAAAGAAGAAACCAAACTCAGGTTCTCAGATTTCACTTTTATAAACTCTCAAAATTCCAAGTAATTTCAAAGAATACAAATCCAAAATAGATAAGTAGTCAAAATTAACTGTGCCTAAACCTGCTTTAAGTCATTTCATTTGCATGATAGTACAGGTAAAATATGTAAACCTCATTTAAAACTAAAAAAAATTGATTTGCTAAATTTGATAAAGTCAAAATAAAATCTCTAGTGACAAGTGTTCAAATAAAGTATTGTCTTTTTTCTTTCACAAATTCAAATAATAGTCATATAAAAGCAAAATTTTTAACCTTCATGGCTTTTAACTATGATTTATTTCTACAGGAAAAATAAACTATAACTACTAATTCTACACACACATACAACCCTATAGAGTTTTGGGGAAATCTTGCTTTATACATATGCATTTTATATATTTTCAAGCTTTTAAAAGTCCACAATTTTAATTTAAACCAACCATGAAGTATGAAAAATCATCAATACTGTAGACCTGAAAAGCCAAATAGCAGGACAATATCTCCTCAAATGATATAATTTTGAGGAAGGCTAAGACAATTTTAATAAAATTGTTTTGCTGTAACTTGTAAGAACTGATATAAAAACAAGGTGTATTATAAAGGATTCTAAATGAAGTATCCATCTTAAAAAGAAAAGGGTCACATTAAGTAACAACTGATCAGGGAAAGGAATTAAGGAAACACTATCTGTACTCATAGAATACAGAAGATTGTGAGGTGGATACAGTAAATGCCTAATCAGTTTTATTAAAATTGGTGTTTAAGAAAAGGCAAATAAATTAAACATCAAAAGATTTACTCCAGGGGCTGGGGTGGTGGCTCAGTGGTAGAATGCTCGCCTAGCACTGGGTTCGATCCTCAGCACCACATAAAAACAAACTAATGTATCCACCTAAAAAACTAAAGATACATAACTAAATATTTTTTTAAATTTATTCCAGTGAAGTAAAAATTCACTAGAAAAATATCTACAATATCAGTACAATTTATCCAAGGTTTGTGGCAGCAATTCAGTTCCACAATCTATAAAGTTTATCATAAAAGTTATAATGTTTTCTGGGCTTTAACAGTATAATCATAGGTATAAGTAGGTCTATTAACAAAAAAGACTGAATTGTAATATTTTTGTCTCGTTATTGCTAAATATTCATGAAAGTGATAAAATTAAAGTCATTAAAAATTATATGATCCAGAATATTTAATAATTCACATTAGTCTTTCCTACTGAGGAAATTTACAGTTTTCCTATTTTTCATTTCTCTTGAAGAGAAAATGCTTCCTTCTTTGAAATGTTTCCTTGTGATGTTTTCCAGTATCACTCAAGAAGTGATATACTTCCTTAAGGAAGAATTTCTCTCTAGGAAAAAGAAAAAAATTCTTTAGCTTTCTAACTTTTCTCTTTTTAACAAAAAAAATGTATTTAAATTACATGCATTAAATGCCCTCAAATTATTTGCTGCATTAGACATTTGGGAAGCATGTGAGAGATGTGATTAAAAACTTCAGGCTTAAAAGCCAGAACAAAGTATTATCCCTTTATGAATTGTCATAATAGTATCAAGAATACTTCATCAAGAAGGCAGTAAAACAAATGACGTCAGCATTCTTACTAACAGCTCCTCAAAAACTAAGCACATAATACATTTCAGTAAGTCCTTTCATAATTTTCCATTAGTGACTAGGCAGAAAAGACATTTTGCTTAAGATACAATTCAAAATTTGTTTTATTAGCAATGTATTTCATTTGTCTAGAATCTGACCACTCCACATAATTGTGCATGCCTTAAAAACTCTAGTTATGTCAAAATTCTACTCTCACCTTCATCCCCTTCACACTGAAAAGTGATGGCATTCAATATTGTTAAGATACACTTTTGGTTTGCTAGATAAAAAGGCATTTGTACTTAAGGGATATATAATCCTGAGGGTCAATTTAATAATCCCATGGGAGGTCTCACATTACACATAAAAATATAACCATTAAAAATGTATTGTCGAGAATTTTATCATTTTAAAAACAAGAAATCATTAGATAATAAGAGAAAAATAGGGTAACAGATCCAGATCAGCATGTAATACACATTTTTATCATACTATGTTACCCGAATCCCTGGTCAATTTTCTTCTAAATGACTATACCTTATTAAAAATTACTGACCCCATGGATTTGTGGAAGGCAACTACTCCAACCTCCCACAAAGAATCAATACCTGGCTCTACTTTCTTCCAGTAGTATTACATTTGTAAATTATTTTATAAGCAGCAAGTCAACTCCATGTTATAAAGCACCATCGAGTATTTCATTCCATACGAAGAAAATAAATTAAAAGATTTTACAACAGGATTCCTGGGAAGGCACTTTAGTTTAAAAAAAAAAAAAAAAAAAGAGCCACAACACTTAGGAGACTTCTTCATACTGCAAGTTCCTTAATACTGTCCTCTTTGCTAAACATCTTGACCAGTTAATATCTTAATCACTTAGCATCTTGACTGTAAGTTTCCCAATAAACTGAAAGTTGTTCAAATATAAATTAAGAAAGGAGAGAAGGGACACAGCCCATGCCCTGATGAATAAGGCCAAGCAAATTTGCCGTCAAAGTAAGTAAACAGGGTGGGGGGTAGTGGAGATCAAACTCTGGAGCACTTAACCACCAAGCTTCTTCATTCCCAGGCCCCTGTCCACCCCCCCTCTTAAATTTTGAGACAGGGTCTAGATAAGTTGCTGAGGCTGACCTTGAACTTTTGATCCTTCTGTCTCAGTCTCCCAAGATACTGGGGTTATACAGGCATATGCCACTGAATTAGGTGAGTGTTATATGGCTTTAGAAAGGTAAGAGAAACAGATGGAGCAAGAAAGTAAAACAGGCACATGACCAGTATCGAATTGGACCACTAACTTTAGGCAGAAAAAAAGTGAATTTAATTTTCATATTCAGAACCAACCCCTGCCAAAATATTAAAGGAACCCTTGGATAGTTAATCTAAGCAAAAATTTTTTTAAAGTCACCCTATAAGTTTTGAGTGTTACTCACTTTACTCAAATAATAAAGATTACAAAGATTTTTACAATTAGTTCAAGTTATAAAGTAACAACTTGTAAGAGTTCACTTAAATTCTTTTGAATTAAACAAAAGTGGACAATATTCTTCAATTGTTTTAACTTGTACCTTAGAAGAGTCAATTATATTAGAAATTCTACAATGTAAATCCTTTTCTTATATTATTAATTTGATGTTAAAACATCATTCATGATACTAAATCACAAATGTTCATGTGCTCCTTTCTAATAATTTGCTAATTCTAACCCTTAAGAGGAATATTCCAAGAAAATAATCTTTATCTAAAGGTATTGAGGAAAAGAATTATTTTCCACTATTTTACCAGTGTTTTACAAAACTGTACAAAATAATCTTGTTAAGAAGGCAAGTAAAACATTGGCAATCACTTTATGTTCATTAACCAAGAAGCAAACAATAAGTTTCAAAATGCTATTTTTCCCTTAGGTAATTAATACTGAAAATCACTCATTAAACAAATTCACTATCAAAACAACCAACCTTTACTTTAAATCAACAGAAATTTCCTTATTATGGAAAAATAACCTCTTTAGTTCTCTTCATTTATACAATGAGACTATGAATATTACTGAGGTTGTGAATGAACTGTGAATGTGAACCAAGTTTTCTTATCGCTGGAATACTGGATGGTTTGAAAAGGAATGTATAAAACATGCCTGCTGCTAACCAAAAGGTGACTTTTATGTGAATAAGGCTGTCATTTCTTCAAGATACTGTATTGCCAACAGTCAGAAAATTGTGACAAACAGCAAAACTGTAATACTACCAATGTTAAATGACATCACCAAGTTTGCACTTACAGCCAGAGTTCTCTCATGATCCATTATTCTATTTTCTTTTCTTTTACATATCTTAACAAAGTCCACAAAAATCAAAGCTAAAGTTTTCTTAAGGAAAATAACAGTGCTCTCAACAAAACTCTCTATATTATAAAATAATAGTTAAAAATATCATAAATATGCCATTTGTATTAATGATAAAAATACAACTTCAATATTGATCCTAATGCTCTTAAAAGAATGTCTGATTTTGAGACCATTAATATATCAACCTTGCTACTTCAAATGTAAATGAAATTCTTTGACAGAAATACACAAAACTTAAAATTCATGTTAAATATACACATGGCAGGGCTCATTTATGCTTATTAAAAATATCTCATGGTCAAAAAACAAAATAACATAATCTTTCCAAACTTTTCAAGTAAGATACGTACATAAGACCTTGACAGCTTTTACAGATACCCACAGCTGAAAGTTGGAGCACTTCCAATATCTAGAAATGTTTTTTACTAGCTGCATCAGAAAATCATTATAAGTCAAGGCCAATAATTATTCTTCCTAATTGTGCAAAGATAAATAATATGAGCTATACCATCAGCAGACTACATTGCCGGATATTAAGATTGCTTAAAATCTTTAAAATTTCACCAATTCATGGTAATTCTGAACCTCAAAAATCAAGAATTCAAACTTACAAAAATAAATACCACTCTGACACTCAAGGGACATCTTCACTTTAAGGCCTTTGTCACAAATCTGAATCTTTATTGTTCTGAAATAAATGTTAAAAACATAACTTGAAACAAAAATGTCAATATTCAGTCTCAGAAGAGGTGTGGCTCAATGCCGCTCACATGTAACAAGGAAACTTCCTTTAAAAAAAAAGGAAAAAAAAAAAAAAAAAAGTACTATGAGAAGTCTTTCATATGAATGAAAATGCACCCTTTGGATTTTTCCCCCTCGTTTCATTAGTTTGTATACATGTGGGAAACAAAAAGTTTGCATTTTCTTCACAATAGTTCTTGCTATGATGTTTGACGAACTTTTTGCCACTCAACAAATTCATCAAGAAGAACGGGCCCTAAAAATAATGAAACAAGTCTCATTAGAATTCAATAAACTCATCTCTCCAACTATATAACAAATTCTCCATATGTTTAGTAATGATAGTCTGACCTATCCTGTTTTGTTTCCAGTCTCCCTCTTCTACATATTGGTATTTTCTTAGCCTTTTCCATTTTGCCCGAAAAAAAAAAAAAAGGTGGGACTTTCTACAATGGGTATTCATAGCAATTTTCTTTGCAAGGTGTTTCATGAACCTTCTAATAACTGAGTCACTATTAACCTCTTCCATAGCATTCTGGCATTTAATCATAATGTAAAAAGTGATTAAGGTAGTAGTTCTGTTACATTCCCAAGTATTGTAAGATTGTTAAGGGGAGATAGGCCATATAAAAGACTTTATTCTAAAAAGGGGACATGGTATAAAGATAAACACAAAGTAAATATTTAAATGCATCATTTTAATTCCTTTTCCAGGTTAACTGCTCTGAACATTAAAACAACGTGTGAAACCAAAATAATAGTAAAAACTAAAAATATATAATTCTAGAGAGTAATTTGGCCCATCTAAATAATCGTTACTCCAAATCTGTTTTATCCACTTAAGAGTTGTTTTTGCCCCTAGTCCTGACAGTTGTGACCCTGGCCACATCAGGGATGGCCCAATCCTGTGTCTGCATCTGACACACCACCTCAATGATTCCATCCCACAAAAACCTGCCAACTGAAGCCTGTCCTTGCATCCAGGATGGAACCAGCTCCCTTTCCTCTTCTCCCACCCCCCAAGGTGCCTTAAAGGGCCCTCATCCACCAGAGGTAGAGGGCAGGGGGCCTCACTCTCCAGCCCTGATATAGGGGAGAGAGTTGGGGGGATTGAAAATTGGGAGGGGCACTCTGAGATTAAAAAGTTTTACCTCTTAAAAAAAAAAAAGAGTACAAATATTTTAATTGGAAGGTTGAAATTGTAGTGAGTTATTGATATTATCTGCCATATCATTAATAGGTACCATCATTAATTTTAAAGCCTTTTCTAGTATAGTTCTTGTTTTTAAAATCATGATTTTTTTTTTTCTACAGGAAAGACAAAGCAGAATTTTGGCTTCTAAATGCAGAAATTATCATTTAAGTTTAGCTATTATGTATGGTTACTAAGGAATGGAAACATTTACCAGAATTAATTTTATAATATTACTGAATCTAAGCTCTTGACCTTCCTCATAACCTGGCTAAACAGTAAAAGTTACTGTTATGATGTTTAAAACTGTTATGTTAATGCTCCACAAATGCATAATATTTTTAGGAATTTTATTTTCATAGAAATACACCATACTTACAAGCACCGTCTTCATCGTAGTTACTAAGATCGGCATGAACTGTTCTGCTGAATTCTAATACATTGTACCACTGATCTTTGTTCATAACACGATACTTTGATTGCTGTGGAAATCAAAACAAATTGCTGTGAACTTCAGAACAAACATTACTTAACAGGATTTAACTTCAGTCAATATATTATAATTTTTTGTGTGCTTTGGCATTTCCTAAAACTTTTATTTCTCTATTAACTATTTGTGTTCTTAGGGAATCCTCAAGAGCATTTACATATTGACGACTACTAGTTTTTTTCCTCCAATTTTTGAATAATATTAGTAAGTACAAGTATACTAATAATTAAAAGTCACAACAACAAGATAAAGATATAGAACATTTCCCATTTCTAGAAAGTTCCCTTGTGTTCCTTCCAAGTATATTTCTTGCATGAACTACATTTTGAGGTTGGTGTCTAATGGAAATAGTGGGTTCAAATTCCACTTCTGTCGCTTAATTGAAGGACCTGAGAAAGTTACTTAAGAATAGAACTCATAGCCAGGTATGGTATAATCCCTGAGGCTTGGGAGACTGAGGCAGGAGGACTGCAAATTCAAATACAACCTCAAAAACTTAGTGAGGTCCTAAGCAACTTAGAAAGACCCTACCTCAAAAATTTTAAAAAGTGGGAGGCGGAGTAAGAATGAGGCTCAGTGGTTAAGTGCCCCTGGGTTCATCCCTGGTACCAAAAAAAAAAAAAAAGAATAGAATACATTTCCTGGAGAGAAAACTTAAAAATGGTGTTATAATGATTTAAAAAGAAAACATATGTCAAATAGTTTGCATATTAACAAGTGTGTGAAAATATTTAGTTTTCAACTTAGCTTCTCAGAGGTGAATGTCTTTACATTCAGTTAAATTTAATTTTGCCTAAAAATAGAAACAGGAGAAAGGTAAGCACTATTCGTGAAAAATATTCACTTTATTGGGCTTAAAAATTTATTGTGCAAAAAATTCTTTCATATAAGTGCCACTGTCCTTTATTATAAGTTTTAAGTAAAACTACTCTGGACAACTTGCTGTGATATCAGCTTTATGAGAAATTATTTCCAAAGGAAAACTTATTTATTCAAAAAATAGCAAGAACTATACCAAGAAAAAATTAAAAGGCATAAGCTGGATGTGGTGGTACATCCTTGTAATCCCAGCTACTCAGAAGGCTGAAGCAGGAGGATCAAAATTTAAGGTCAACTTAGGTAATTTAGTGAGAACATTTCTCAAATAAAGAAAGAAAGAAAGAAAGGGCTAAGGATGACGATCAGTGGCAGAGCACCTGCCTAGCACATGTAAGGTTCTATATTCAATCCCAATGCAAAAAAAGAGAAAAGAAGTCAATGAAAACAGATATGAAACTAGATAAAACAATGTAAAAAAATAGTATCGTTTTAGAACCACTGTGCTAGTAAGAACAATGATACCCCTCTCCAAGAATATTTGCTTCATAAATTCAGTATACTTTTTTCTTTTTTTAGTAATCAGTAAAGTCAAGCATGCTATTAAAGTCATTCTCATACTTGTGGACATAAAATATTAGTTTTATTTCTTCACAGTCAATCTAAATGCAAAAGGGAAGCTTTATTATAAGAACTGGTACTTAAATATATTTCAGTATGAGACAAGTTGCTTGAGATTTGTTTACTAGCATTGATTCTTTCTAAGACACAAGAAACTAATTTTGCACGAAAAATATCTGAACCCAGGGTCTAATGCACACTAAACAGGCATTATGCCACAAAATTATACCCCTAATTATACCATTATACCACAAAATTATACCCCTAATTCCCCAAATTCTTATGTAAAGGATATATCAAATCACATGAACTTGGGTCTAAAACTGACAATAGAAATTTACACATTTTAACAGAATCTTTTCAATACTCATGAATAATGTTTAAAAGTACAGGACTTAAAAGTGACTTGTTCCTCAATATTTTAAAATCAGATTGTTTTTTAAATATTTAATCAAAATTTTTTTTAAAAATGCATACCTCCAGGTACTGGTAAAATACTGAAAACAGTGGCCATGTCCTACCAAGCAGAAGAGCTAACATAGATTTAGCAGTATCAATATCAAGGCTTCTCTGATCTTTATCCTAAAATAAGTGAAAAAATTTTCTTAAGTATGGTCTTAAGATGAAAAACAATTACAATGACTTAAGGAAGAAAAACTGCACACCTACCCTTGCAAAATCAAAGGCATATCTGTATATATTCTTAAATGATGAAATGTCATTCAGCTGTGAGCGCAAAAAATCAAATTTGTTCTGTAACTTTTCTGTGCAATCACACCTTGAGTAAAAAATATATAATGAAGAAAATTAAAACATTTTTAGGGAGTTAGAAGGAATGTATTAAGAACGAATACATTTATAAAGTTAATTTAAGTTCAAAATTCTCTCACAAATTTAGAGTAATATGCCTTCTATCTACCAATACAATAATAAAAGGAAAAATAAAAAGAAGCCCTGGCAATTACAATTAATGTCAAGAGCTACGTAATGTTTTGAACAATTAAAAAAAAAAAAATTAATGAAAGCTTATTCCAAAGACTTTTCTTTGGGGGGGCAGGGGATGGAACTCAACCATAAAATTCAAATAAAATCATAAGTATCTCTTTAAAAGACATGTATTAAAATATGCCTTTATTACATATAATTGCAAAAGAGAAAGTAAAAAAGAAAAAAGTATGGGATATAAATAATATAATTAATGAGGCCTCTATCACATACTTCATTGGAAAGTTCTTAGGCAACAGCTTGGTGAAAGATATCAGCCATAAGTGGTTTTAAAAATTAGGGACACAACACAGAAGAAATTAACAATTATATTAAGTGGTAATATAATATTATATATTATATAATTAACAATTATATTAAGTGGCCCAATAATAAATCCTGATTCCCACATAGCAAACAAAAAATTAAGTTATCAGTAGAAGCATTTAACTTCAAGTAAGATAAATACACAAAAGCATGCAAAAGAGTTATACATGTTATTTCTAAAGACAATACATTAAATATAAACAATTAAAAACAGGTACAATGCTCAAAAATTTTGACTGGTTTTCTAACTCTCACAGGGTTGGCAAGTTCCAACTTGAACAAGAAGCAAGGCAAAGTCTCCATAAGTGGCACAAATCTCCAGTCTCATCTTCTTGCCATTTCAGAACATCCTTACTGTACTCTATTTTTATTTCAATTAACCGCTCCCATATGCCACAGCTATGGTTTAGCATACCTTACTTTCTCTACTTAACACATTGGCTTCAACTTTCTGACAAAATATTACCCATCAAGACCTAACTCACATTTTGCCACCTCTGAGACCATCTGACACACACTGATCATATTTAGTTGTGTCATGAACTATGACCCACAGTATTCTACTCAAAATTGAATTTTAATGCTCATGATATAATACATAATACCTAGCATTTTCAAATTTGACTAAGACTTTCACTATCCTAAATGTATAGTAAGTTAAAATTCTATTAAGGTGTAAGCATTTTGTATACTTCTTTTTTTGGTCCTGGGGATTGAACCCAGGGGACACTTAACCACTGAGCCACATCCCCAGCCCTTTTTATTCAGAGACAGTGTGGCCAAGTTGCTCAGAGATTCCCTAAATTTCTGTGGGTTTTGAAACCAGGTTCCTCCTGCCTCACATGTCCAGCCATTTGGATACATTTCTAATGTTAATTAAATCTTGCATATCTAAAATAAGCCAAACTTAAGTCATGTTACCTGTTTTACATGCTGCTAGATTTTTTCCCCCCGCTGTTTCTAAGGGAAACTAAAGCCAAAAAAATTTCATTTTTTGGTACACTCTCCTTACTAGTTTTTGTAATATTCTTTACATAAGCCTCAGAAAACAAAATAAGGATCATTTCACTTTTTTTCTGTTTCATGAAAAAATTTACGTAACCTTGGGATTAGTGTTTGTCCAAACACAAATTAAGCATTTGGGCCTTTTTATTGAGGGAAAAGAAAGGCTTTAAAAACTACTAAATTAATAAATCAGCATTAAACTACTTAACTGTACTAGAAAAAAAATTACAAAATTAATATTTTTTTAAATTGTAGATGGACACAATACCTTCATTTTATTTATTTATTTTCATGTGGTGCTGAGGATTGAACCCAGTTCCTCACATGTATGAGACAAGTCCTCTGCCACTGAGACACAATCCCAGCCCACTGAATTAATATTTTTAATGGCTATGTGACTATTCAAATTTTCTTGACCAATCTAAACAGAATTCAATTTAATACAGCTTTCAAGCCTACAGAGTAAAACTTTAGGTGTAACCATAAATTGTGGTATTATTGCTTTTATTATTCACTTATAAATGACACACTGAAAAACTGTTTTCAGAGAAGTGATAGGGATAAAAATTCTACTGGAATAGGTTTAAGAAAGAATGAGAAGAACTAGAGAAAATAAGTATAAACAAACACTTTTGAAGAACTTGGTTCTACCTACAAAATGGGGGAAATCTTTTCTACCTACTCTTCTGATAGAAAAATATCTAGAATATATAAAGAATTAAAAAAACTCAGCACCAAAAAACCAAATAACCCAATTAATAAATGAGCAAATGAATTAAAGAGACACTTCTCAAAAAAGAAATACAAACAGCCAACAAAGCCGGGTGGCGCACACCTGTGGTCCTAGGGACTCAGCAGGTTGAGGCAGGAACATCACAAGTTCAAGGACAAACTCAGCAACTAAGACCCTCAACAATTTAGCAAGAACCTGTCTCAAAATAAAAAATAAAAAGAGCTAGGGATGTGGCTCAGTGGTTTAGCATGTCTGGGTTCAATCCCCAGTACCAAAAAGCAAACAAATGGCCAACAAATACATGAAAAAATGTTCAACTTCAACAGGGAAATGCAAACCAAAATCATACTGAGATTTCATCTCACAACAGTCAGAATGGCAGTCATTGGGAATACAAAAAATAATTATTGCTGGAAAGAATGTGCAGAGAAAGAAACATTTTTACACTGCTGGTGGGATTGTAAATTAGTACAGTCACTATGGAAATCACTATCAAGGTTCTCAAAAGACTGTGCAAGGAATCACCATATGACCCAGCTATACCACTCCTCAATATTTATGGTTTAGATGTAGTATACCCCAAAGCTCACATGTGAGACAATGCAAGAAGGTTGGAGGAGGAATGATTAGGTTATAGCCTCAACATAACTGAGTGGTAACTGGAGGCAGGTACAGTATGGCTGGAGGAAGCCATTCATTGGGGCTGTCGCTATGGGTAATATATTTTGTATCTGAAGAGTGGAGTGTCTCTCTCTCTCTACTTTCTGATCACCATATGGGCTGATTCCCTCTGCCATACTCTTCTGCCATGTTGTTCCTGTCTCACCTGGATCCCTGAGGAATGGAGCCAGCTGTCTATTGAGAATGAGATCTGTGAAACTATGAGCCCTTAAATAAACTTTTCATCCTCTAAAATTGTTTGTTAGATTCTTTAGTCACAGCAACAAAAAAAGCTGATTAAAACAATACTATAGAGATACATGTATACCCATGTTTATAGCAACACAATTCACAATAGCTAAACTATGGAGCAGCCTAGGTATCCATCAATAGACGAATGGATAAAGAAAATGTAGCATATATACACAATGAGTTTTTATTCAGCCATCAAGAAAAATGATACTACATCATTTGCAGGAAAAGGGATAGGAACCTAAGACAATATGTTAAATGAAATAAGTCAAACTCAGAAGGTCAAGGGTCATATGTTTTCTCTCACCAAAGAGGAGGGAAAAAATAAAAATGTAGGGGGAGCAGGGATCTCATGAAAGTCAAACGGACATCAGAAGAGGGAAGAAAACAAGGAGTGGGAGGTGGGGAGTGCTGGGGAATGATATCAGCCAAATTATAGTCTTATATTATGTGCACATATAAATATGTAACAACAAATACTATAATTATATGCAACTATAATGAACCAAAAAAATGTGGCAAGAAAAAAATTGGTTTTAAAATGGCATACAAGAGGCACTAGCATGAGTGGGATAAAAAAAAAAAAAATAGTTAAAAGGAATAACTTTCTCCCAGCTACTAGGGAGGCTAAAACAGGAGGAAAGCAAGTCTGAGGCAGCCTCAACAACTCAGCAAGACTGGCTCAAAAGGGGATAGAGGGGAGGGGCTGGGGATATAGCTCAGTGGTAAGGCATCCCTGGGATCAAAACAGAAATAACTTTCAATTTCATCAAGATGGAATAAATATATCTCTTTCACCATCCTTCCCTCTGTCCTTTATATATGATGTTCCACAGATATCATATATAAAACAAATGTAATAGAATTCCAAAAGTGAAGACTTGAATAACAAGAGTGGCAAGTTCCTTGAGTTTATTCTTGCTTTACATACTCAGCCTTGGGGCTGAAGAAGCCAGCAAACCAGAAACAATGAGAGAAGATAAGAGAGCTCCAACAAAAACCTCAACTTTTTCTAGCCAAGTAGAAAAGGAAAGGAACAGCAAAGGAGGACAAAATTTTAAAAACTAAACATTCTATTTTAGTCACACACTATCAAAAAACCTGTGATCCAACTCCCACCTATGCCAGTGAAGACTTTAGGGACCTAAAATATCCACCCTCACCAGGATATATGACCTCTCTCTCAACTCTTATAGTGTTTGGTACAAAGCACATAGAGAACATGAACTTCTACTCAGGAATAATGAGCAGCAAATTCTCCTCTGCCTTGCGGTGGTATAGAGCTGACATGGTAAAAAGTCTGGGCTTTCCCCATCACCCACTGGTAAAAGGCCACCACCCTAATGGGGTCTATGGGGAATAGCTAAGAAGGCACTCTTACCCCTTTCAGACAAGACAGTTATCAGTGAAGGCCTAAAGGGGACCCAGAACTCTCACCCTTGCCTATTAGTAACAAGAAGCATCCTTTCTTGGATGTCAATGGGTGCAGTTTCCACTCCTCAAAGAGTGGTGCTACAGGAAGCTATTAAAAATGAAATCCGAAGTTTCATATTGTATTAAAAATGTCCAGGTTTCAATAAAAAAAAATTACTTAAACAAGAACCAAGATCTCACAGAGAAGGCAAAAACATAATAAATTCAAACACCAAAATGACAGAAATGCTCATAATTATCTGACATAACTTCAAAGAACCATCATAAAAATGCTTCAACAAGCAACTAACCACACAATAAAACAAACAAAACAATAGAAAAGTCTTATGGCCTATCTTATCAATAATCACACATAATATAAAAGGTCTTTAAATACACCGATG